GCCAGGTGTGTGTAATGATGGGTTGCCAGGGCAGGTGGTTAGTAGACCGGCGACGTCGAGCACCGGAGAGGGGGAGCAGGAGTAGACGTGGAAACTAGTCCTTTGTTAGCTGACTGATATGTCCTGTAGCGCAGACAAAACACTTTACAGTGCCTCAAAATATATCCGTTTATTGCATAAATTGTACATGCATTGGATTGCAATGCTGGTGCGGTTAAATAATCCAGTCCAGTTTAATGAATTACAGTTTCTGATAAATGTATTGACGTCACTGATCACAGCACTGCTTTTGACTCTAGAGTGATTGACATCACTATGACACAATGTAAATGGTTCCTGGAGCGCTACAGAGGGTTTCACTCCAACCCCAGTTGTAACTAACACGATCCGTTTTATAAACCAGCTAATTATTAGAATCAGGTCCGCTAGGTTAGGGCTGGAATAATATTAATAATATGCCATTTAGCAGACGCTTTTATCCAAAGCGACTTACAGTCATGTGTGCATACATTTTTACGTATGGGTGGTCCCGGGGATCGAACCCACTACCCTGGCGTTACAAGTGCCATGCTCTACCAATTGAGTTACAGAGGACCACAGGATGGTAGCTCTCCAGGAACAGGTTTGGAGAGCCCTGTCATAAAATATGCATAAATGCATCCTCCAATTGCAACATCTGCCGATGCCCACACATATTGTCTCAAGAAAATGCTATATTTTTAATACCCTCAAACACCAAGGCATACCTCATTTAAAAATAGGCCATCATCACTGTCAATCGTGAATTATAATTATTCACGTTTTACCGGTGAACCTAAATCTACATGCCAATAATTTGATTGATCTCAATCAGTTTCACGGGATTAGCGTATGCATTTCGATCTTCTTTAATTACTGTTTCGTGAGCAAATTAGAGCAAATGATGTTAACAAACTATTAGCCTTTCTTGTATTTTGTTTCAATCAAAGCATATATCCTAACAGCTAACTATCCTAAAATCTCATTAGAAATTAGGAGGTGTTTTTGGTGTAACGGTAACATTAACCTATAGGCCTACTATGCTATGCTATTATATTCGGTTCAGTTACGTAAAATAATAATTAATCGTTATGTGATCTTGCGAGACATTGATTCAGCTTTGATCTAACTTTACTAAACGAGCACCATTGTGAGAAGTGAGAATCTTATATTTGTAATAACACATGATGAGGAGGACTATTAGGCGTAGGCAACAGATCTTGATGAGTGTTATTACAAACGATTAGAACCACGAAGAGCGGTCCAAAAGGACAGCGCTAAATAAACTTTAATTTGATTAGGTTGAATACATGGTTACAATTTACCCTATTACAGAATAAAAGAAAACAGAGTGGTGAACTATCAATTCATAGCATTTATTTGCATAGATTTAATCAATAAATCAATTGATAAAGTAGTGAACATAAATCATTATCAAATCAATGTTTATTTGTCACATGCCCCGAATACAACAGATGTAGACCTTACCGTGAAATGCTTACTTACAAGGCCTTAACCAACAATACAGTTTTAAGAAAATAGAGTTATGAAAATATTTACTAAATAAACTAATATATATACCCCCTATATATAGCCTCATTATTGTTATTTTATATATAATATATATATATATATATATATATATGTGAGGCTATATACAGGGGGTACCGGTACCGATTCAATGTGCGGGGGTCCAGGTTAGTCGAGGTAATTTGTACATGTAGGTAGCGGTTACTAGATAGAATTCCAGGAAATTCGTTTTAAAACAGCCATAAAATCTATCTTTTGGTGTGGTGTATTGATCCATCTCAATAAACTATCACCTAAATGCATTATTACCTCCAACTTGGCCCAATTTCAATTTCCCCACCCCGTCATAGCCTACCAAGCTAGAACGGGCCCTGCGTCTTAACCAATAGCCAATGTAGGCTAAATATCCCAAGCAGGGCTACAGAAACTTCCAGAGAGGGTCAGGCTCTTGGGCCACTCTGGTTTGGGTGACCTCGGCAGAACGTGTCGCTCTAACCAAGTGGTCACATATCGTTCTGGGTTCCACTTTGCAAGAGCAGGTCGGTGGAGTTTTATGAACATCAATGCAGACACGGTTAATTTAGATATTTTTTTCAAGGTTCTGGTGTTCTTAACTTGTCAAGCCTCCAATGGGCCTTCGCAATGCACACATGTAGACTACAGTTCTTCATAATTCACCAGAGAGAAGACAGGGAAGAAACCACCATTTACCTACCTCTAGGCTGCTTTTTTTATGGAATTTTTGTGCTAGTTAAATATAATTTATTTAGAATTGATCAGAATAAATGTTCCATGTATTCTCAAATTGTAAGTGCAACTCCCTCGCACTCCCCCAGCGCTACACACCTGCTTACTTGTGAAGTGAAGGCAGCTGCATAGCCCTATTTAATTTTTGTTACAACAAAAATAGTGCACTGGGCCTTTACTAGTACTGTATTAGTGGACCAATATAGCCTTCTGTAGGTAGGCCAATGTTGTTGTTTTTATATACATGCATTTTCTATATTAGCGGGTTAGGGTCGGGTGCAGGCCTCAGATTTTCACTTTAACACATATAGTCGGGCGGTTGCGGATGGGTTATTAGCAATTGCGATAAGATATTTTAACATGATTAAATACCACCAAAATAATTATTTGTATACATATCCATAGTTTATTTTACGCTCAACTTTACAAAGGTTTACCACATTAAATTATGACGTTTTTTAAAAACAGTTAAATCCAACATTTAATTTCCTTATGTAACAAATCAAGCTGTTTCCTGTGTGACTAACAACACAGCATAATGTAATTCAAAAAGCAAAGTCATTGTCATTAGAAAACACTAAAACATATTTTTCTGATCCACTCCACAGAAGGTAGGCTATTGTTTGAATATATGCAGTTACATTCTCGTAGTCCATCATAAGAAAATAAGCCACATTTTTATAATAATAGTAATAATAATTGATTCATTTTATTTAGCACTTTTCATTATGCACAGAATCTCAAAGTCGCAAAAATATACAACAAATTTGTTTGTGATCTGACGTGTTATCTGACAGATTCTTAAAACAACAGTGAATAAAGTGACAAAAATGTTCACCGTTTTGGGTCAAATAAGTATCCATAAATCTACATAACTGACAAAGTTACACTACAAATGCAGTCACTCATATTCAATTACTGGAAAGTAAAGAAAAACAGTTTATGCAATTAAAATGAAAGACAGTTTACAGATGTAGGATCTTATTTTGATCCAGTTTGCTACAGCAGGAAAATAATCCTGCAGCAACAGGAAATGTTAATTATTATGTTGATTATAAATAATGGACATTTTTGTAGGGGTTGATAAATTTTTCGTAAGGGAAAATCAAGTCTGAAATTTCAAAGTGGAAATTACAAACTTTTTAAGCCTCAAATACACTACACATTTTTAATGTTCCTGCATTGCACGAAAGATCTCCTGCAACGGGGTGGTCAAATTAAGATCCTACAACTCTCAATTTAGAACATTTTAGATAAATTGTTTCGTATCACAATCTTAGATTTTTCTGATGACTGAATAATGGGACTTAAACAATCATTTGGTGACATTAATTCAGCTTTGTCTCTGGGATCTAAGTTAACTCACTGTGCACCCACCAGCTGTAAATTTTTTTTTCCAGTTCTCAAAGTCACGAGACATTTGATCATTGCCCAGTAACTGGAATATCTTCTCCATCAGCTCCATCACCTGCTGCTGGTCTTTCTTTGTGTTTTTGAACACATGTTTGTTCCCACAGCACCTTACTATGTCTTTCAGATGATCGTCAGCCTGTTTGATGAACGTTTCAATGCTCATATCTTTGAGGTCCTCTCCATTCGTAAAGAGGACAAATGTTTTCTCTCTAATTGTACCCAAGGCATCTTCTAATTTTTTCAAGATCTCTCGTTCACCCTCTGTGAATCGGCCAATCTGAATCACCAGTAAGTACACACTCAACCCTGTCTGACAGTGCTTTATGCAATCCTCAACGTGTCTGGTTGGTTGTTTAAGATCATCTTCAAAGAAATCTGGGGTATCAACGACTCTAACCTCTGTCCCTTCTATCTTCATCTTTTCTACCTTACACTCTTTTGTAACTGGTACAGAGCTTGCACGTGATGGAAACAATTTTTTCCTCAGGATTCTGTTTCCACTTGTACTCTTTCCAGTCCCTGTCTGTCCCAGTAGCACAATGTTCAAAATGTTGCTGGGTTTGCTTGCATAGTTTGCTTGACCATAATAGGTTGGACCTAGTGAAACAATAATAGCAGCAATCGAGTTACACAGTGTTTCATCCACCTTCAATTTACCTTGCTTCTCAATGAGTTTCCTGATGTTATTTAAAAAGTGAGAGTAGGATCTTACTTATAATTTATAGATTTTTTTGTTAGTCCCGAATGTTATTCAAATGGGTCAGAGGATATTCAACTAAATTCTGTTCTCTTTATACTGATGTCAAAAAAAATACAGCAGAATGTGAATGAGGTAAACATAGTGTATTTTGTATTGTATAGTGCAAGGAGTTCTACAGTCAAACTTGTGGCTTGATATAAAAGACTCAAGCAATGCAGGCTAGTATAGCTTGTGGTATAGATTTCACTTATTGAGTAAATTCCACCCTGGGGCTTACCAGTGTTTGAGTTTCCAGATCCGCTAGCCAACCCATCCTGAGATCTGACAGGATCACTGGACCTAAAGCATACAACCATGACAAATAATAGCTTTTAGTGCCTTTGACAATGTTAGAAAATGTAATTAATGTCATTTGGTCTTACATCTCATCTTGGGGTTTTGATGGGTCCCCGATTCTTGTTTCTCTGAACTCTTTTCCAGGATGACTATCATAGTCAACAGACCTAAGTACACCATGACAAATATATAATAGCTTTTAGTGATTTTGACAATATTACAAAATAAAGAATGTATTGAATGTAATTTGGTCTTACATCTCATCTTGGGGTTTTGATGGGTCCCCGATTCTTGTTCCTCTGAACTCTTTTCCAGGATGACTATCATAGTCAACAGACCTAAGTACACCATGACAAATATATAATAGCTTTTAGTGATTTTGACAATATTACAAAATAAAGAATGTATTGAATGTCATTTGGTCTTACATCTCATCTTGGGGTTTTGATGGGTCCCCGATTCTTGTTCCTCTGAACTCTTTTCCAGGATGACTATCATAGTCAACAGACCTAAGTACACCATGACAAATATATAATAGCTTTTAGTGATTTTGACAATATTACAAAATAAAGAATGTATTGAATGTCATTTGGTCTTACATCTCATCTTGGGGTTTTGATGGGTCCCCGATTCTTGTTCCTCTGAACTCTTTTCCAGGATGACTATCATAGTCAACAGACCTAAGTACACCATGACAAATATATAATAGCTTTTAGTGATTTTGACAATATTACAAAATAAAGAATGTATTGAATGTCATTTGGTCTTACATCTCATCTTGGGGTTTTGATGGGTCCCCGATTCTTGTTCCTCTGAACTCTTTTCCAGGATGACTATCATAGTCAACAGACCTAAGTACACCATGACAAATATATAATAGCTTTTAGTGATTTTGACAATATTACAAAATAAAGAATGTATTGAATGTCATTTGGTCTTACATCTCATCTTGGGGTTTTGATGGGTCCCCGATTCTTGTTCCTCTGAACTCTTTTCCAGGATGACTATCATGGCCAACAGACCTAAGTACACCATGACAAATACACTGCTCAACAAAATTAAGGGAACACTAAAATAACACATCCTAGATCTGAATGAATGAAATAATCTTATTAAATACTTTTTTCTTTACATAGTTGAATGTGCTGACAACAAAATCACACAAAAATTATCAATGGAAATCAAATTTATCAACCCATGGAGGTCTGGATTTGGAGTCACCCTCAAAATTAAAGTGGAAAACCACACTACAGGCTGATCCAACTTTGATGTAATGTCCTTAAAACAAGTCAAAATGAGGCTCAGTAGTGTGTGTGGCCTCCACGTGCCTGTATGACCTCCCTACAACGCCTGGGCATGCTCCTGATGAGGTGGCGGATGGTCTCCTGAGGGATCTCCCCCCAGACCTGGACTAAAACATCCGCCAACTCCTGGACAGTCTGTGGTGCAACGTGGCGTTGGTGGATGGAGCGAGACATGATGTCCCAGATGTGCTCAATTGGATTCAGGTCTGGGGAACGGGTGGTCCATAGCATCAATGCCTTCCTCTTGCAGGAACTGCTGACACACTCCAGCCACATGAGGTCTAGCATTGTCTTGCATTAGGAGGAACCCAGGGCCAACCGCACCAGCATATGGTCTCACAAGGGGTCTGAGGATCTCATCTCTGTACCTAATGGCAGTCAGGCTACCTCTGGCGAGCACATGGAGGGCTGTGCGGCCCCCCAAAGAAATGCCACCCCACACCATGACTGACCCACCGCCAAACCGGTCATGCTGGAGGATGTTGCAGGCAGCAGAACTTTCTCCACGGCATCTCCAGACTCTGTCACGTCTGTCACATGCTCAGTGTGAACCTGCTTTCATCTGTGAAGAGCACAGGGCGCCAGTGGCGAATTTGCCAATCTTGGTGTTCTCTGGCAAATGCCAAACGTCCTGCACGGTGTTGGGCTGTAAGCACAACCCCCACCTGTGGACGTCGGGCCCTCATACCACCCTCATGGAGTCTGTTTCTGACCATTTGAGCAGACACATGCACATTTGTGGCCCGCTGGAGGTCATTTTGCAGGGCTCTGGCAGTGCTCCTCCTGCTCCTCCTTGCACAAAGGCGGAGGTAGCAGTCCTGCTGCTGGGTTGTTGCCCTCCTACGGCCTCCTCCACGTCTCCTGATGTACTGGCCTGTCTCCTGGTAGCACCTCCATGCTCTGGACACTACGCTGACAGACACAGCAAACCTTCTTGCCACAGCTGGCATTGATGTGCCATCCTGGATGAGCTGCACTACCTGAGCCACTTGTGTGGGTTGTAGACTCCGTCTCATGCTACCACTAGAGTGAAAGCAGCGCCAGCATTCAAAAGTGACCAAAACATCAGCCAGGAAGCATAGGAACTGAGAAGTGGTCTGTGGTCACCACCTTCAAAACCAGTCCTTTATTGGGGGTGTCTTGCTAATTGCCTATAATTTCCACCTGTTGTCTATTCTATTTGCACAACAGCATGTGAAATTTATTGTCAATCAGTGTTGCTTCCTAAGTGGACAGTTTGATTTCACAGAAGTGTGATTGACTTGGAGTTACATTGTGTTGTTTAAGTGTTCCCTTTATTTTTTTGAGCATATATAATAGCTTTTAGTGATTTTGACAATATTACAAAATAAAGAATGTATTGAATGTCATTTGGTCTTACATCTCATCTTGGGGTTTTGATGGGTCCCCGATTCTTGTTCCTCTGAACTCTTTTCCAGGATGACTATCATAGCCAACAGACCTAAGTACACCATGACAAATATATAATAGCTTTTAGTGATTTTGACAATATTACAAAATAAAGAATGTATTGAATGTCATTTGGTCTTACAGCTTTCGGGTCTTTCTCTTTTTCGCCAGTGTTTCGTTTCTTTTTAGTACAACATCTTTACTGTATTTTTCGTAGGTGTAGTTGAAGAATTTACGGTCCTTTAGTAACTTTTTGTGCAGATCATTAGAATTGTTCAAGACTTCCAGGGGATATTTAAGGTTTTGATTGATATAACGTTCCAGTGCAATGATGTCACTCCTGCCTGGTAACATAACTATCATGTTTGCCGTAATCTTTTCTCCAAAGGTATCTTGTAGGTGAACAACTTGCTGTCCAACCTCCTCTGGTGTATCATGCCCATCTTGAATCACAAGCAGGGATATATGAGGGCCGGGGTATGAAAGTGCCATACAGTCAATAATTTGCTGGTCTGGATTATTGCCTTCTCCAAACATGTCTGGGGTGTTGATTGCAGCATATGATTCATTCTCTCTCCGCTCACATAGTTCGGTATCATGGGTAAAGCGATAGCTATCTCCTAGGATTATATTTCCTATTGAACTCTTTGGAGCTCCTTTCTTTCCAAACAGGACGATGGTACATTGTCCTCCAGAACCTAGTTAAAACAATAAGAACAGTCTTAGATCTTTCTGTCAGATATGTTGCATTAGTAATGTGATACCATTGCAAGGGACACACAATTGAGTCTAAGAATGTTCCCAAACAGTATTCCAGAATATATTTCAACCATATTGACCAACATTTTCTTTCTGCTACACACATTACACAGTAGAGCAAACACCAGTAAAATCCTGTTTTCCTCCTGTCTTACTCCAGATTTTTTTTTTTTTACTATTCTTGCACTGCTGTTTTCCAAAGACACTTAACTGTACCTTTGGTTTTTCAGCCTAAAAATAAATATATAACAATGCACACAACACAACCTGTAGTGATGCAGCGATTGTACAGTTCTGGGCAATAAATAGGTGTTTTATCAAAAAGCCATGTAGGCATATGACTAAAACTATAGATTTGAAACTTTGCGGGATAAAGAAAATTGTACAGATGTGATCTCAACTGTGCAGAGACATGTGCCTTTGGTGTACAGTTTTTAAATTAGGAAAACGTCGCCCATATGTCCAAATTGTTAAGCTCCTTAGAGCAGTGTCTGATGTTCTTTATATTATTTTGTCAAGACGTTCTTCAAACTAAATGTTGTTAAATCAATCACATAGAACCTTAGAAGCATAAAAAAATTACGATAGTACAAATTCTACATTTGCTGGGTTGACATCTCTTTATGAAAAGTAAAATAATGACATGATGGTTGATGATTTTAGAATGAAAACAGTTGCTCTTACCTGTCATTTTCCTCTTTTCGTTGTGCAGCCACGGGATGACGAAACCTGAAACAGGAAAATGAATAGGGAGGTCTTCAACACGTCTCTGCAAATCTAAAATGAATGTTTTTCATCCCAATTATATACTGAATTGTATAGAGGTAGGGTCAATCGTGTGGGCGGTTCTAAGGGAGCTTGATAGATAAAACATAGGAAAGTTGCACCTTTCCACTTCATTCAATTTCAACAAGATGGGTTGTCGCTACTCGATCCCTGAAGGTGAGAATGACGTTCTTAAACTTTTTTGCAATGAGGTGAAGTTAGCTTTATATTAGCCTAGGCAGCTGATAGTGCATATCTAGCGCCCATGCGCTATATTCTATGATTGACGATCATTCCCGGTATTCAGTAATACACTCGTGTCCCCTGTTGACCGGCTCTTACATAAATGATCCTCCATTCAGGCTGAAAAGGCATACTTTTCCTCCTTAACTATCTTTAATGGTGAGAAGGTTGAGAAAATATGCTTACTTTCTTTATGAAACACAATTTTCCAAACACAATTTAGGATGTTTCACACCATGATCAGCCAAGGGTGTGCAACATTCTAAAATGTCCGAAAATTGTGTTTCATAAAAAAAGTAGCCTATTGCTATTGGTTCAGGGACCTCGCCTGTCCAATCCATTGCATATAAATATTTGTCTATTTTCAATGAATTACATTTTCATTATATGTATAAAATACTTGCTTAAAACGTCAATAGCTTCCACCCCATATCACTTTCCTGAATACAACCAACTGTTATTGGTTCAGGGACCTTGTCTGTACAATCTACGACAATTACGTTTGTCTTTTTTGACTTTGGCTATTTAAAAAAGTATATATTTTAAATTAATTTACATGAAAAATACTTCCTTAAAACTTGAATAGCTTCGACCCCATATTACTTTTATTAACACAACCAACTAATAATGGTTCAGGGACCTCACCAGTCCAATCCACAGCAAATACTTTAGTATTTTTTTACTTTGTCTATTTAAAAAAATACATTTTCATTGAATTTACATGAGAAAGACTTACTTAAAACTTCAATAGCTGCCACCCCATGTCACGTGCATGAATACAACCAACTGCTATTGGTTCAGGGACTTGTCTGTACAATCTATGGCAATTACTTTTGTAGTTTTTGACTTCGGCTATTTTCTCTGAATTTTAATGGACTTTACATTAAAAAAGATACTTCCTTAAAACGTCAATAGCTTCCACCCCAATATGACCTGCATTAATACAACCAACTGTTATAGATTCAGGGACCTCTTCCCTCCAATCTACAGCATTTACTTTTTGTAATTTTTTAATTTACTTTACATAACAAATATTTCCTTAACTTTAATAGCTTCCATCCATTTACATGTTTACATTTACATTTACGTCATTTAGCAGACGCTCTTATCCAGAGCGACTTACAAATTGGTGCATTCACCTTATAGCCAGTGGGATAACCACTTTACAATATGTTTTTTATTTGTATTATTATTTTAAAAATTTTGGGGTGGGGTAAGGGGGGGTAGAAGGATTACTTTATCCTATCCCAGGTATTCCTTAAAGAGGTGGTGTTTCAAGTGTCTCCGGAAGGTGGTGAGTGACTCCGCTGTCCTGGCGTCGTGAGGGAGCTTGTTCCACCATTAGGGTGCCAGAGCAGCGAACAGTTTTGACTGGGCTGAGCGGGAACTGTGCTTCCGCAGAGGTAGGGGGGCCAGCAGGCCAGAGGTGGATGAACGCAATGCCCTCGTTTGGGTGTAGGGACTGATCAGAGCCTGAAGGTACGGAGGTGCCGTTCCCCTCACAGCTCTGTAGGCAAGCACCATGGTCTTGTAGCAGATGCAAGCTTCAACTGGAAGCCAGTGGAGTGTGCGGAGGAGCGGGGTGACGTGAGAGAACTTGGGAAGGTTGAACACCAGACGGGCTGCGGCATTCTGGATGAGTTGTAGGGGTTTATTGGCACAGGCAGGGAGCCCAGCCAACAGCGAGTTACAGTAATCCAGACGGGAGATGACAAGTGCCTGGATTAGGATCTGTGCCGCTTCCTGTGCAAGGCAGGGTCGTACTCTCCGAATGTTGTAGAGCATGAACCTACAGGATCGTGTCACCGCCTTGATGTTAGCGGAGAACGACAGGGTGTTGTCCAGGCTCACGCCAAGGCTCTTCGCACTCTGGGAGGAGGACACAACGGAGTTGTCAACCGTGATGGCGAGATCATGGAACGGGCAGTCCTTCCCCGGGAGGAAGAGCAGCTCTGTCTTGCCGAGGTTCAGCTTGAGGTGGTGATCCGTCATCCACACTGATATGTCTGCCAGACATGCAGAGATGCGATTCGCCACCTGGTTATCAGAAGGGGGAAAGGAGAAGATTAGTTGTGTGTCGTCTGCGTAGCAATGATAGGAGAGGCCATGTGAGGATATGACAGAGCCAAGTGACTTGGTGTATAGCGAGAATAGGAGAGGGCCTAGAACTGAGCCCTGGGGGACACCAGTGGTGAGAGCATGTGGTGCGGAGACAGATTCTCGCCACGCCACTTGGTAGGAGCGACCGGTCAGGTAGGACGCAATCCAACAGTGAGCCGCGCCAGAGATGCCCAACTCGGAGAGGGTGGAGAGGAGGATCTGATGGTTCACAGTATCAAAGGCAGCACACAGGTCTAGAAGGACAAGAGCAGAGGAGAGAGAGTTAGCTTTAGCAGTGCGGAGAGCCTCCATGACACAGAGAAGAGCAGTCTCAGTTGAATGACCAGTCTTGAAACCTGACTGGTTTGGATCAAGAAGGTCATTCTGAGAGAGATAGCAAGAGAGTTGGCTAAAGACGGCACGCTCAAGAGTTTTGGAGAGAAAAGAAAGAAGGGATACTGGTCTGTAGTTGTTGACATCGGAGGGATCGAGTGTAGGTTTTTTGAGAAGGGGTGCAACTCTCGCTCTCTTGAAGACGGAAGGGACATAGCCAGCGGTCAAGGATGAGTTGATGAGCGAGGTGAGGTAAGGGAGAAGGTCACCGGAGATGGTCTGGAGAAGAGAGGAGGGGATAGGGTCAAGCGGGCAGGTTGTTGGGCGGCCAGCCATCACAAGTTGCAAGATTTCATCTGGAGAGAGAGGGGAGAAAGAAGTCAAAGCATAGAGTAGGGCAGTGTGAGCAGGACCAGCAGTGTCATTTGACTTAACAAACGAGGATCGGATGTCGTCAACTTTTTTTTCAAAATGGTTGACGAAGTCATCCACAGAGAGGGAGGGGGGGGGGGGGGGGGGGGGAGGAGGATTCAGCAGGGAGGAGAAAGTGGCAAAGAGCTTCCTAGGGTTAGAGGCAGATGCTTGGAATTTAGAGTGGTAGAAAGTGGCTTTATTAGCAGAAACATAGGAAGAAAATGTAGAGAGGAGGGAGTGAAAAGATGCCAGGTCCGCAGGGAGTCTAGTTTTCCTCCATTTCCACTCGGCTGCCCGGAGCCCTGTTCTGTGAGCTTGCAATGAGTCGTCAAGCCACGGAGCAGGAGGGGAGGACCGAGCCGGCCGGGAGGATAGGGGACATAGAGAGTCAAAGGATGCAGAAAGGGAGGAGAGGAGGGTTGAGGAGGCAGAATCAGGAGATTGGAGGGAGAAGGATTGAGCAGAGGGAAGAGATGATAGGATGGAAGAGGAGAGAGTAGCGGGAGAGAGAGAGCGAAGGTTGCGACGGCGCATTACCATCTGAGTAGGGGCAGAGTGAGTAGTGTTGGCGGAGAGCAAGAGAGAAAAGGATACAAAATAGTGGTCGGAGACATGGAGGGGAGTTGCAGTAAGATTAGTAGAAGAACAGCATCTAGTAAAGATGAGGTCAAGTGTATTGCCTGCCTTGTGAGTAGGGGGGGACGGTGAGAGGGTGAGGTCAAAAGAGGAGAGGAGTGGAAAGAAGGAGGCAGAGAGAAATGAGTCAAAGGTAGCCGTAGGGAGGTTAATGTCACCCAGGACTGTGAGGGGTGAGCCATCCTCAGGAAAGGAACTTATCAAGGCGTCAAGCTCATTGATGAATTCTCCAAGGGAACCTGGAGGGCGATAAATGACAAGGATGTTAAGCTTGAATGGGCTAGTGACTGTGACAGCATGGAATTCAAATGAGGAGATAGACAGATGGGTCAGGAGAAAAAGAGAGAATGTCCACTTGGGAGAGATGAGGATTCCTGTGCCACCACCCCGCTGACCAGATGCTCTCTGGGTATGCGAGAACACATGGTCAGACGAGGAGAGAGCAGTAGGAGTAGCAGTGTTTTCAGTGGTAATCCATGTTTCCGTCAGCGCCAAGAAGTCGAGGGACTGGAGGGTAGCATAGGCTGAGATGAACTCTGCCTTGTTGGCCGCAGAACGGCAGTTCCAGAGGCTGCCGGAGACCAGGAACTCCACGTGGGTCGTGCGTGCAGGAACCACCAGGTTAGAGAGGCAGCAGCCACGCGGTGTGAGGCGTTTGTATAGTATTTTTCTTTAAAGTTAATTGAAATAAATATGTCAAAAAAGCTAAACTTATTGCCGTGGATTCAAGAGAAGAGGACTCTGAACAATGTCAAATTGATTTGAGATCTGTATGTCATGTGGTTGAGAAGCTATTAAGATTTGTTATTAACATGCAAAAGTAGACATTGCAGTTTTAAGACGGTTGCTTAAACCTCTGAGAAGAGGAGAGCAATATTTTAGCTATATTTCGCCTCCAAAAATAAAATGAGACACCGAATTGCAAAAACAAGGGGTGTAACTTGTTTGCTATCGTCAGCGATCGTCGCTATGTATCATTCTTGCACGTTCCGTTGAAGAGGTATTGATGAGCAAAATCCAAATATTTAATGTAAACTAACTATAAAATAGCTTTTTTGCAGTTGTTTCTTTAGTTTCACACAGAAAACATTGTTGAGTGTATGAATCCAATTTCTTCCAGCACAAGAAGAATGAAGTTTAGCAGGACATTTGTTTTCACTGAATAGGTCACTAGGCATGAATTCTTCACTAAACATTAATTAAATATTTTCAGGTCCTGACCTGAGAATTGTGATGAT